CAGAACAGCTCCCTGTGTTCCATCTACACCATTTCCTCACCCAAAAAAAGAATCCTTAAAGAATCAGAACATGATTCATTTTCTGTCCTGTCTTCTTCATTCACATATCTTTAAAAATGAGACATCATGCTTCATATCCTGAGAGTAACAGGAGATTCCCAGAAGTCTGTCCTTTAGCCATCCTCTCAGCTTAAGTAACACCAGTACTTTCATCACTGCCTCACAATTTTGGGCTAAATAGTAACAGAAATACTGATGTATTACAGCTCCAGAATGAAGCTGTGAGCACAGACACCTGTCTCCACTAATGAAGGTACTGCAGGAAGTTCTCAACAAAAGAAATAAATACAAGTTTGGTAACATTACATTTCCAGTAGAACATAATATAATACATACTACTAGTACCTTACATAACAGTGCTTTGTAGTAAGGCCACAGTAGTTTTAACCTTCTTTCCAGAAATTTGGAAAGGGGGGCATAAGTCATAAAATCAGTCAGAAAATTTGGTGCAGAGATCCATACCTCCAGGCTAAGTTTCATAACCAGGAGCACTTGGAAATACTGCATACAGCTTTTTATTTCTGATCCAGAAAAGATTTTTTGTTGAAGTGTTTAGTACGAGGGTTTCAGTAACTCTATAAGCTAATTATAAACTTATATTTAAAGAACACATCAAGAATTAAATATAAACTATCTTTTGACTCACATTTTTCTTGTTGAAGGAGCTTTCATCAAGTTTCTCCACTGCAAGGATGTTTTTGATTGGAATAGTGAAAATTGGTTCTTTATCTGTAAAAAATTGTAAACAGATGAGTGAAGTGATTTTTAAAAAACTGTTTCGCAACCTCAGTGCACTGATACTGTAGGTTAAGTTCTCAAAATGTGAATTTTTATTATTGAGAAAATGTACATGAGTCAGACAAGCATTTGGTAATCAGGGCACAAGTAACTAAAACATATCATATGTACTTTAGGAAAAGAAAAAATATGCATTTTAAAAAGCACAAATCAGATGCAAACACTTAAAATACTGAGACAATAAAAATAATTGTGAAACATAGTTTACCTTGCTGTTTGTGGTAGGTGAATTCTCTACTTGTTAGACAGAACCACCGCTTCTTGAAATTCTTTTTACCAATACGAGTCCTTCCCTGAGCTCTTTTGTACATTTCTCTGTAAAGACAGAATCAAATGAAATGTAACCATTAGTCTTCTGAAGAGCTTTCAAAATAATTTATTGAGATAACACATTATTCATCATGCCGCAACACAAAAGTCTACTTCATTGTAGAATAAAAAAAAAAATCTATTAGTCATTCAAAATACATCCTCAAGATTACCTCCTAATATGGTGATTGTGTACAGGGTTCCATAAATAGGAAAGGAGTTTGAGAAATATGGAATCCAGAGTCTTGTTTGTAGCAGGAAATTTGGAGTGGGTACTTACTTATTCAGATCCAGAACTCCAAATCTTCCCAAAAGGGAGTAAGGTGTATCCAACTACAAGATTCTCACTTTCCTGCCACTTTCTACAAGTGAATGTACTTGGCCTTATCTGGATCAAAAACTGAATATAAATGAAATGACACTGAACACAAATGAATAGCAAGGGCAGACACAAACTGTATTCAGTACACTTTAAGTGTACTCACTGACAACTATTTTTGAGCAACAGCCACCAATTTATAATACAGATTAGCTTCCAAATATATATTTCAACGATAACTAAGTGTTGATCCACTACAATTGCCGCCTCCATTTCTATTTAGTATAAGTGGTACGTTTCTTCCTCATTTGAGATTTCGATGCTTATTTCACAGAAGAACCTTTACTTGCTATGAATCTGCTTCTCAGATAAATACAAATTTTTTTCCCCACAAATGTTGTCTGAATTAATTTATCAGCTATTCTTGATCAACGTCAAAAAAACCCAGTTCATTTCTTGGTAAGAGTGATTTTCACCTCAATTTATATAAAAGCATTCTATCACTTACTGTTAAGTATTCCAATTACAGGGTAATTTTTTCTCCTACTTTAAAGGCAGAACATTTAGCTGGCTGGGCTTAAACAGCATACAAAGTAATTCTAAATTAAATTAACACATTCTTTTAAAATACACTTTGCCAATTCTGAATAAACCATCACAGAGCACACACTGAGTTGTAACAGAAATGCAGACAGGCTTTAATGGGTTTTAAGCTGCTTTTAATTACTTTTCCCAAGTATTTAGAAGATGAGTTACAGCTGTTGGTTTAAGCTAATTCTGCAAACTAACAAAAAATTATCACAAATTACAATAATTTCTACAGCATGCAAAACATTTTAACGAGAATTAATCTGATGCTGGCATTAATGAAAACTCAGTAAAGTCAATTCAAGATGTATTTACCCTTCTTTTAGATGTACTGGCTCACTCAGGCCACTGGGCTCTTTACTTTCAGTAGAGGAAACATCATCTAGGAACTTAAGGGAAAATACACAGGGAATATATACTATTCAGAAACACAGAACAACCAAAAGCTCTTTTGAAAATACATAAGTTTCTCCTGGAACAGAACAACCACTTCACTAAAGTAATTGCAACAGATGAAATTAAAATATATTGCAGGGACTTGGAACAATGTAACAAGGGATGCCCATAAGGCACATGAGATTTAAGTAGATCCTAAACAGCAGATCTAATAAAGTCTGTTTCAAAAAAAAATTTTTTTTTTTTAAACTAAATTAGCTTAGTCCACTATGTATAACTCCTGTGTATCTGATCATGTAGATTTTGTTGGGTTTTGGTTTTTTCGGTTTTGGTGTGGGTTTTTGTTTTTTTTTTTAAAACATCCGAAACAGACAATTTTTTTTCTTTTTCTTTCTAGCAGAAAACTAAACAATAACACAACCTTCTAATAATTAAGACTGATCAAATACATCAACCATTTAAAAAAAAAAATCTAGTTGAAAGGTACCTTTTTAACAGATTCGGTAAATTTTTCTTCTTGAAATGTTTTGAAAAACTCACACATAAATGTCTCCTTGAAACTTGACTGAAAGAAAAGGTATATTGACATAATTAAACTTTCAAAGAATGCTGCCTATGAAATGAGAAAAATTTTAATCGCCTTACAAGTTTGCTTTTGGTAAAACTTCCCCAACTCCCCAAAGTCTGGATGGCTTTTGATATAAGCGTTAATGTTCTAGACGTCTGTGCATCCTGAAATAAAGAAACAAAATTCAAAAGTAACATTTTTTCACAATTTCAGGTAAAACTTGGATTTAAAAATGACAGTGTCACGCCAATTTTTATATTACACAATGTAGTAAATCTGACATCTTCAATTTTTTTTCTTCTTTGCCCAAAGAGAAGAAATGTGTATGCAGTATTGTCCTCTAGTAGCACATGTGCTTCGTGAATATATTATAAGCTACTGCACAGTGTTTAATATTTTACTCACTACCACTAGAATTTAATACTAGTACCTGGAAAAACATTTTTACCTCTCAAACATCTCAAACCCCTCAAATCTTGTAATTATTACTACACACCTAATGCTTCTGAACTATTCAAAACTTAACACTGATGAACTATTGCTGGACAAATGGTAGAAGTTTTTAAAATACAAAGTGAACTTAAAACTTTGTCTTTAAGGCTTTTGCCTAAATTTGTTTGCTACCTCACTGCTTGCATTTTAGTACAGGATTATATGCAGAGACACAGAAAGAGGCCTTGTTGTTCCCTTTAAAATGTTTAACCCTCAAGTGATAAAATCCTGTAATCTTTTTACTCAACAAACTGGATAATGTCAAAGAAATGATTTTTAAGTAATTTTTTTGTTTGTTTTGAAAGCACAACACACAAGTAGATTAAATAAGCTAATAACGATAACCTCTGGAACAGAAGATTTCATATATATTCTGTATTTTATGTGAAAATAATACAGTGGTTTTTTCTTATCTCCATATTCCTGTCTTTTTATGCACATCTACTTGACAATTTGAAAACTGAAAATGGAAGGTTTGGCAACCCACTGCAACTAGTGGACTCTAGAATAAATATGCAGACCAATTACTGGGTAACTCTACAACCTCTGTTTAAGACACAAATGGAATTTTTTTTTTTTTTTTTAAAGTAAAAGTGACACCTGGATATTTAACTTCCAAAGTAGAAGGAACCAATGCAGTTTAGGCATATGCCTTAAAGAACCCTAAGTCATGTTGCTATCCTAACAAAGAAGCACATTGCCAAAAAAGACACAGCATCTTTAATATCACTTCTACATCACTGGAGAACACCTCAAAGACTGAGACATTTGATGCTTAAAGAATTGCAAATGTCTTAGTTCCTTTGGTGAGGTATAAAATTGAAAACTCAACCTAGAGACATTTAGTAATCTTATTTCCCACTTACAGACCCACTGAAAGTAACTAATGCCTTCCCAGATAAACAGATCTGACAGTTATGAATAAAACAGAACAAAGCTTTACAAAACTTACTGGATGGTGAGGTCGTAAATGAAAAGTATGAGGTGAGACTACGGCTACAGCAAAGAAACGAAGAAACACAAAGCTGCTCACTGCAGAATACTGTACATGAGGGTCATCTGCAGAGAAAAACCATGAAATGTAACATGCACTAAACTTAACAGGATATAATGAAGACAGTTAACACAAAAATCCCTAAGAAGATAACATCAGAGGACATATATTTTAAAACAGAATAGAAAAATCAATGAAGTGCATGAAATGAGAAAAGCGATCATGGTAGGAAGTGTTCCACCTATAATAGAGGGTTTATTTCTCTGAAAAGAACTTCTGTTCTTATAAAACTGGCTCACCAGCTCCACCACTAGGAATGACATGATTATTGTGAGCATTTACATACACAGTGTTGATTAGGTATGGCTGTATGCATACTGAACCAAAAGAGAAAATACTGTAGCAGTTGCCTTTAAACACTACGGCTATCAGGTTTATTCACCTCTAAAGCTAATCACCGATCAACTCAAATACATTAATGCTGCACAACCAACATATGAACAACTTTAACTCCAATTCTGAGTTGCACCATAAAACCATGGTGTTATATCATTTTGATGCCTTAAATGAGGATTTTCTTATTTAATATTTTGGATATACATACACCTTTATACTGGTAAATAGAGTGAGATTACATTCCTACTCTAATGACCACTTCTATCTGATGGGCCTGGGTAGTTAGCTATTCTGAAAGGAATGTCTTAATCAGAGGAATTTATGGCATTAGTTCCAGTGACAAACATGAATCAGAGAAAGGCTCCAGATAAGTATATTCTTCTTTTGCAGCTTATTAAATGGCATTTCAGATTTCAATTCACTGAAGTATAATAGTACTTCAGACCCATATTATTTCTACATTAAAACCACTCTGAATGAATAAAACTATTCTAATATGCATTAAGTATTTTACATTATCCACCCTCCTCAAAACTACCCATAAGTAGTAAAGCTATGGTAACAGTAAAGCTAACTTCATATCAGTTATGAATGCGTTAGTCATAGTTAACATAGTTACAGTTCATATAGTTAAGATGTAAATACAGAATTTATTTTCAAATTTACATCTTGCTGCTTTAGACGTAATAAATAGATCAGGCCTTCCAAATTTCACTTATCTTTCAGGTAAGTTACTTCTGTATTACTTGTGCTTTTCTTCTGTTATCTCATATTTTTGTTGGTGACTTCTTATTTGTTGTTACCGTGCAGTGTTTCTGACTTGCTACATTTTTGTATCAGAAAATACAAAATTCTTGCCTATTGACCACAAGGCTTTACTATAACTTCCAAACTGACAGAAAAACAAATGCCTGATTGTCAAGGCAAGAAGTTCAGGGAAGAGCTTTGGATAAGGCAAGAATTTTAAAATCCCCATAAGTAACCGCAGAAGTTAAGCATTTCACTCTGAATGCCATTTTCAAAAATTATTGGAGAACACTTACTTGGAAATCTTTTGGCAGCCAGATGCCTCAAAGAATAAAAAACATCACACATTAGGGTAGGACAACTTATACTTGATCTCACAATTTCACGGAATACTTTGTCTACATAATAGCGTAGATTTTCCTGCAATCACGGAAAAAGTATTTTTTCAGACCATTTGCAGTTCTGTGGTTTTTTTCCTGAACACTGTAACACTGCAATTCCTTTATTCAAAACATTGCCTGACTATTCACTTATTTTAGTGCAGTGCACATTTAAAAAGTCTCATAGTATTTACATGGGATTACTACTGTTGAGAGAATTTAATGACATTCATTTACATTAAAGTATATAAACAGTGTCTGGCAATATACAACTATCTATCAAAACCCATTTTTGTAATTTGACAACACGTTACAAGGAAGAAGCACTTCCCATGCATACCTAGCGAATGTTAGTTTCGTTTGTTGCAGCAACTATTGCCTTAAATATCGTCCTCTTAACAGGCAAGTGGCAAGCAAAACTTCAATGAAAAACGTTAAAGCAGTCCTAATTAGGTGGTACTTCATCTAGATGCTGAGTACAGAACATCAGGAGTCACAACACCCAACAAACTGGTAAGGAAGACTGCAATCCTCTATTTAGTTTCTCCTCACCATCCCATTTTCTGTTGGACTTTTCCTTTGCTGTTTTCATAAACTGGGATAAGAAAATAAAACTTTTCCTTTGTTTACTCTGGAATCAGAGAGTAAGTTACTCATTTTCCATTACACAAAGATGCTTTTTAAAAATGTTTTCCTATTAGATTTTGAAAAAGTTTAAATTAGGAAAAACAGATTAGGAAACTCACCATATTATTTTCTACATTATCTCCTTCTCTTAATTTGATGGGGTCTATTTCACAGGGTTTAGGACACTCACATATCTGAAACAAACAAACAAAACTGTAGGAGTTCAATTTTTCAGAAAGAAAGCATGGAAATGCACGTATTGAAAACCAGATTCTGTCCTAGATTTAGGGGTAAAACTCTATATAGGTTCTAACTATCTGTAACAGCATGTAATGATCATCCTCACTTTTGTGGGTATGTTTTTACATGGATCAATTACATAAAGCATCATGTGGGTAAATTCTGCAATGTGTTAAGAGGCTGGAGCAACTGTCACTGTTTATTCTCAAGCATCTGGAACATAAACAACAAAAAGCTGCTCCTCCCACTAAACTTAACCAATTACTGCTCAATTTAACGTTCCTCTAGAATTCCCCTGAGTGATTACTACCACACATGGAGCTGTAGTAAGAATGCCTATCAAAGAGATGGAATAAAGAGACAGAGGGTCTGAAAGTCCTGAGAAGAGTTTCAGTAGGATAACCTACCTCATCAATAACAGGTTTCAAAGTAACCTTTAGGTAGTGCTTCCCCACTATTTTCATCATTTCATCTACACATCGAGTTGCTAATGAGTTGCCTCTGAAGACTGTGTTTGCTTCTCTGTAAGAAAAGAATTAATTTTATTTGAAAAGGGAAAAAAAAATAAGACCAGTTACAAAATCCAATTAATACTTTATCTTGCTTTTTCATATATTTCAGTCAGGAATTCCAGAACCTAAACACCCAGCTTGCAGTGGCACTAGAACAGAACAAGTATAAACAAGAATATTATTACAGCTATTACCAAAACCAGAAACATAAACAAAATCATAAGGAAAAGCCTAAGAGATTTTAGACAAAGGAAGTTATAATCCAGTGCTGAATGTGAGAAAGAACAATTGGCAAAAACTCCAAAACAACGAAGACTTGTACCTCACTGATATACAATTCTTCCTCCAGTAGTCCTGGTGAAAAAAAAAAAATCTTACAGCTACAATAAATAGCATACTGCGACACTACACTGATAAACTCAGACATTTTATCGAAAACATATTTAATCTAGAGTTATGCTTTTTATTCATTCTAGCCGTTGAAGAAAACTGAGAGCCAGCTGTGCAAAGCAAATCCTTCTAATCTAAAAGATTTACTTTAATCTTCCTTGTGTTCAGTTATAATGGAAAAGAATGTGTGTAACTAAAATGTAGTTCAGAAAGTTATTTTCCATGAGTCAGCTCTTTCTATCCAGTCAAATTGTCTCACCTTATTTAAATCTACAGTAGGTTAGCTTCGAAATGAACCATCCTGCGGTGACAAAATCCCTTCCACATCTCCACAGGACATGACTCAGCACCTCAGTGGCCACTACACAGATCTACTTCATTTCTCTCCTAATCAGAGCTGTCAATTCACCGGCCGTACACTGCCACTTGGAAAATCTCTGCTTGCTACTTTCAAGGCATGCAGGAGGACACGTACTTACAAGGCATCTTTGCAAAAAACGAGTACCCCTCATTTAAGTCACATACTAAAGGAAACAGGGTAAGATTCTCAGCAATTTAAAAAATGTTAAGTACCAATCTAACAACCAGCAAATTTGAAAAGTGGACAAATTATGACATTTAAAAATAAAACCCATGTGCTCTTACACACAAGTCTAGACTGCCAGCTTGTTATGTTTAGCTGTATGCTAGCTCTAAGAAAATTTTAACAAATAGCACACAATCATTAGCTCTGACTCCCAGCTTCAATGTCATTTTAATACATGTTTTTTATAAACTGACATTAAAAGATTAATGTATTTAGTCAGTTTTACATAATGGGAGAAAGAAATTTGATACACTTACTTAACAATGTTGTATCATGAAGCCCTTTGAAAGTCTAAGAACAATTTAAAAAGGCGTGACATCACTAAACATGAAATACATACTGTGTGTCCTTCAGATCTAGTTCTGCCACCGCAGTAACAAATGGAACTAGCTTATGGTGGTGTAGCAACAATCGTACAAGAGGCAGAACAGCATCGTACTTGTCTCGACAAACTTCACTCAGTATGTAGGCAGCAGATGCAGAAATCGGCTGTGAGAAAGCAGAGTATGAAATCATGAGTGAAATAAAGTGTTCTTCATGTATTTGGCAATACAGATCAAATCTAACGAGACTATAGACATAGCTTCTTATACAGCAAACGTTGAAACTTTCTGTTAACATGATAATTAAAAGTTTCTATTGTACAGAATACAAACTTTCAACTAAGTATCTACTCTACAACTTGACATTTAAGAATGAAATTCAGCATCTACTCGCTCTTCTCATTCTCTGTAAAGGGTTTAGAGTATGGCTTTGTCACAAATACGATGCAGTCAGCAATTGCTTTATTATAATGTCATATAACTTTATAAGACTTTTAAAACTATAATCAGAGCACATGTAAATACAGTTCTCACTTCCAAATTTCAATACAAAAAACTGATCAAGTTATTTCATTTAAGTAAAAAAAGACAGCTGTTGCCTGCTGCTAGCTACGTATTCAGCTCTTCCCGAATTCCACTGAAGTAGTATTTGAATACAGGCTAGCAAAAATTTTAGTCACAATCTGCTTCCGCTTTACCCTTCTTCTCTATCAGTACTTCACTAACCCTAAAGTGAAGAAAGGCTACATAAGACCCAGCAATGCAAAGCCTGGTTACTATAACTTGATCCCTGTCTCAACGTTACACTAACCATCCACACTTCCCTCTTTGTCACCATGTCCACATGAGAAATCAAGCCATGCTGATTAACATACTGGAGAAGAGAGAAGCAATTCAGAAGAACTGGGATTAGAAATCAATTCTGAAGCAGACCATTTTTGGTAGAGGTGATTATCTACCCCTTCAGTGCCAATAATGAATCAATGTTCCCAGAAAACCACTAAATCCAGGGGGCCAATAGCAGCCAGTGGGAAAACATAATGGTGAAAAGTACAACCAACCAGAAGAAAATATTTTATCTCTTCCAGCAGCACAGGTTATTTCACTATCTCTTCATAGTCTGGAGCAGAAGCCTAAATGCTCTACAAGCTGCTCATCTGGTTGCAACAGAAGTAATTCATGCAAAGGAACAAAAGAATTCTCTAGTTATGCATAGAATCATAGAATGGTTTGGGTTGGAAGGGACCTTAAAGGTCTACTTAATTTCTCTCCTAACCACAGAGATGCATAATTCACATTGACTCATACAGGCTTACATAATTCATTTTAAGTTTTCATTTTAAAATAAATTTCCAATGTAAGTACCTGAATATCTGGTGATTTTAGCAGCAAGTTTCTTAGAGAAGCATAGTATTCCGATGGAAGTACACAGTCTTCAGTATAACAGATATTTAACCTAAGTGATCCCAAATCATCAGTTTTAGAAGACTTGTTTCCATTTTCTCTTGGTTGAAGTAAGTACCTGAAAGCAACAGGGCAATTCTAAAATATTAGATTCACATTTCATTAATTTGACTAATTCTACAATGAGCAAAGTATCACATTTAATTATTTCAGAATACATAAACTGAGTCTGAAAACTAGCAGTAGAAGTCACACAAAGAAACACGAGACAAAAGAAAAAATAGGTACAGCATTTGATGCACCTTTAGCACATAATAAAACATATATTTATTTTCTCATATCTTTCGGAACAGTGAAACAGGATATACTTTTTGTAGTTCAACTGGGATACCAGGCATAGTTAGAAACTATGTTGAACCCTCTTATTTTACATCTGGGTTATATTTAGAGTGTTGGACATTGCAGATGGAACAGCCAGTGCCAAGAATTTAAATGGTCTAGTCTGAAACCAGTAAAATACATAGTATCAACAGGCTGCATTCCTGAGACAAAAGAAAGATGAAAGTAAAACAAATTGTGCTTTTCTTTTTTTCCTACTCTCAGTACAAAATACATTAAAACAATTAATTGGCTTTTTCTGTAGTTCAACTGTATGCCAACAGGAGGTGCAGCCCTACAAAAATTTTAACAGCTTTTAAGCAGTGTCACAGTATAGCTTCCACATTCAGTCCAACAAACTGAAATCGTATCTTCAAATATTCTTTTACAATCATTTCTATTTGTACTTCTACAATCATGAGAACAGAGGGTTTTTTTAATAATCAGATACATTACCCATGAAGGCATACGAATATAAAGTAAAACTGATTTACAAGAAACTCTACTTGACAACACGACTCTTATTTTCCTGATATTTTGTACTAGTGATACTGTTCTATCTGTTGTACTTCAGCTGTATTCAAAAACATATAACGTAAATTAGTAATACTATAAAAAACGTAGTTATTTTAAATCACAGAGCTGTTTTTGATAAGCAGAGCACAATTGGATATGAAGATGTTTAACACAAGGTACTCCTACAAAGTATATTAGCAGACACAAACTTCTTTATCAATGCTTCAAATGAACTGGACATGAGTCAGCTCAATTCAAAAAGCTATACAAATTACCAGTACACTGATAACGAGTCCACGCTAATGTAACCTCTCTCTTAGCAGGTTGTTAACGGAGGCATGTCATTATGTTAATATAGTCATATGGCTTTTGATTAGTTCAGAGCACTTGCAAAGCAAACCTGTGTCTGCAATACACTGTGTGAAAAATAGAAAATACTGACACAAACATTTATTATGTTTAGAAACACATTCAAACACTAAGACTAAGAATCAGAGTTCAACTTTGACATGTCCAAGACACCTGGAGCCTGATGTGGGTACGAGGAGCAGAGCCACAATGGTTCCTGGCCAAGCCCTGTGTTCCATTTAGTTCCTATTTACCCATTTCCTTCCTATGGGTTTTCTATGTGGATACACAACGGCTTCCTCCACTCTTTTCTCTGTACTGAAAGGTTCACTAAAAGCAGAATATTCCTCATACTTTGAGGCATTCATATCTGTTGTACTCATCACTTCCTGCTGCTAAGCATCTGGGACAGTAAAGGGGCTAGAGATCTGCTCCTGCTCGCAAGAACCTGAGAAGGGAGGTTGCTATGTTATAAGCAGAGGTCTGTCTTCCCTGAATTCCCTTCATACCTTACCCCTCCAGCTTTTGAACTTCTTTGCCTGTTCCCCTGTAATGACAGTGGGTTGGTTCCAGAAGACACTTTCTGAACCTCCCCAAGGAAGAAAAAAAAAAAAGCCACACTTAATGATTATCTTTAAACAAACTTCTTCATCAGTCATCCCAGAAGTCTGACTTAGGAATTTAATTACAAGCCATGCAATTCTGAGAAGTTCCAGGTTTGCTGGTTAGGCTTAAAAAGCATACACATATCACTAAAATCCAGCCAGCCGACTGAACAATAGTTACACTCAGTCTTCCCTTTCTTCACTCTCCACACTTCCCTCTCAAACACGAGCTATTCTGTGGGAGTAGGCAGACTGTGGGAAGAAAAGACCTAAATGTACCCTCTGTCAAGGTTAATTTATTGAGCAGGGAAACTCTACAAAGACATTTTACCTAGACTAGAACAGGAAGGTGTATTTTAATGGATAGTTAGAATAAAGCATCTCCTGTGAAATGGGAAGATCTGCAAGACAGAAGCAAATTCAATTCTGAGCCATCATTTCTTACCATGCTTGAAATGAATCATTCCTTAACACCTTCACAGGAACTTTAATTTCTCCTAGAAAGATGTCTTGTACCAAATTTCCGTTATTCCACAGGTCAACCCTGAAAATAAAAACATTGCTTAATTTTTTTACTCCCAGAGAGAAATAAAAATCTTCAAGTTAGCAGTAACTGCCTTATAGCACTAATCCACATGCATGCAGGCAGAAAATGTTAGAAATCTCACTCCATTCTAATTAAATGAAGAAGAATCAAATGAGTGGCTTATTAACCCATAAAAAACAGATAAAGAAACAAACAGTGAAAGTTAGACTCGCAGACCTTGCATCAGTAAGTAAAAGTGATATGGGAAATATATGTATATTCTGAGCAATCTCCACCCCCAAAACTGTGCACATTTTTTCTCAGGTAATTCAGGTGAAATTTTTAACCGGTATATTTACAGATCCCTATCTAATGGCTAGAATTTGGCACACTGCAATGCCACAGCAACACATGCGCTTGTTTTTCCAAACAGCAGCTCATATGCTTACAACCTCAAAAGGAATCACAGACTCCAGACATGCACCTTGTTTTTTTTCTATTACTTCTTACCTCTCTTACATTTCTGACAGACAGCAGTTGTTAAGAAGAACAAAAAATATTAATACTAGATTTGTAGGGGCACAACTCTTTCTAAATATATTCACATCTATAATGAAATATACAATTCCAATTAAGATATTCACGAAGCAAATAGTCAAAAATGCACATACCAAGTTAGTTCTATAATTGCTATTAAAACTAACCACTAAATTCTTCTTCTGATGCCTATTAAGAAACATATGCCAGCCTTGAAGACTTTTGTCATTCAGCAGATTTGGTGCAAGGATGTGCACGAGCACAATAGAGACAAGAAACTGAGTACAGGGGCTCTCAACTGTTCTAACTACATAGCGTAAATACAGACAGACCTGCTCTAAGGGTAAAGGAGCAGAAAAGTGGAACATACTTTGAAGTATTCTTTGCATTTGCAAGGAAAAGGTGCAACACAAATGTTCCCCTAAGAAGCAATGCGAAATCATAAGAATCTCATAGACTTTTTTTTCCCCTCTGTTTTTATTAAAACAGCCAACTAAATTTGAAACCATAGATTAGCTGTCAGGTATGCTGTTATCCTTCAGTACAAGCTCTATCATCAGTATTCCGCCCAAACTATTGATAGGAGGTCCTCACACCTCTAACTCAGGCACAGGGAACAAGTTTAGGCTGCTAGATATACACTCCACCACTACTTACTTAAAAAGCAACAACAACAACAAAACAAAACCAAAACCAAACCCCAACCTCATCTCTAGTAAGAAACACACTAAAAAATTTGAGCAATTTTGTATGTTGGAAGGATCTTTTCTACAAGTCTGATCAGTAATTCTCTGATTTCTCTTTGTCTTGATGATAAAAGATTATGACTTACAAATGATCTTCTTCTAATTTACATAACTTACCTGACTTCTAGTTTCTCAATATCTTCTTCTTCCACCTGAAACTGCGACTTTTTGGTGTAACTGCTGGACCTGGTTACCTGCAAGTAAATTCCTCCTATTAACATGCTTTTTACTGTTTTATTATGGATGTCAAAAATCAAAGAAAACCCTGCCTCTCTAACACTGGTAAAGAGTTACTGCTCCTTTTAAAAAGGAAACAGTTCGGTTCACCAAACAAACTGCCTTTTGACAGAAAGCAGGTGAAAAATGGGTCAAGAAGGGTTCATGGTGGAGCCTGATGAAGGCAAGCTGATATTTAAGGGAATTATAGTACAGATCTACTAGAAAAAACAAGAAGAAAGTATGACATGAAACAGCAAGGATTTCTTTTGTTTCATCATGAGCCCCAAGAACACATTAAATTTAGTTCCGAGATGTTCACGGAAACAACAAATAAGAAGTTCATTCTTTTTGCCCTAGTTATACTACAATTGTAACCTCTTATTTTCATTTTCCTCACTTCTTGACTGATTGCATTCTCAGTTCAACTCTAATAAATCATAAGTCATAAACTTAGTGGAGTGGTTTGGATCACAATTTTATCCTAGTATCATTCTTCCTAAGACATTACACTTGGTATCTTGAGAAGGTCAACCGAAACACATGGCATATGCTGATACTCTATACTAAGTATGGAACAATTTCTCACTGAAGTCCCACAGTAGGACCAGGATCTATACAAACACAGTAAATTGTAAAACATTTGAGGCACATGTAATACTTGTACTACTTACAACTCTCAGTTGAACAGTATAGTACGCTTACATGCAAATGTAGTTTTTATTACAGAGACAAATCAGATGAAAATTCAAACTCATAATTCATGTATTGTAGGGTAACTCATGTAGGATTGAAATCAAATCCTAAGTAACAAAAAAGTTTACATTTTAAAAAATAAAATAATGCAATCAGCCTTTATTGGGTATAATCGCTATATTGTTTTATTAAAGGAGTAAGTTGGGGATTTTTTTTAGCTCAATGTTCTTGAAAAATATTTAAATTCAATTCCACAGGATAGGTTAACGTTCTTGGAACTCCTGATGCCAACAGATGCTATATAAAGTGATTCAAGATAAAAAACTGCCTTCATGCATGTGCTTGTGAAGAAGTAATTTTTCACACAGAAATTGATGAGGAATGCTATTGTCTGGCAGCCCCCATTCACTTACATTTGAGAGGTTAGTGAAAGCTCTCCAATTTGCTTGAAAAGAGCTTTCTGTGTTAGGTACTGCTATGCAGCTTGCTTTAAAATATTTGAAGGGTTGCATAAAATAGATAAAAAACAGGCAGAATACCACACAAAAAGTTACCTCAAAATAAAATGTTTCGTTAAACTGTGGATTGCTTGTTTTCTTCTTTACTTTCGTCTTCTTTTGGTCATTCCTGTTCCAATGTGGTAAAATTTTTACCATAGACAACTTAAACACACAATTATAAAGACATTCTATTGTCAAGAAGGACCCATGCATTTAAGTTAAAACATTTTTTGTCATTTTAGATATCACTTTGATCAACGAAGAAAGTCTTAAAAAATTACTTCATTTTCACAATGTAGTTTGAAAAGTTAAAATTTCAAGTTAATCATACATCTGTCCAGCTCAAAGTTTCTATTTCATTTCACAAACAAGTATAACTTACACGTATCAAGTAAAATAGATCAACAATTTCTAAAGCAAATTTAAGTCTGCAGACAATTTCTTTACTACTCCTTACAGGTTATAAACAGTTTTCCTCATCTCGTTCAACTGGCAATTTCTGGTTTTCCCATCCTCTTTTGTTGGGCAAATACGCACTGCTTCTTTACAGACAGAGGCTTGCACCAACCACTGAACATTTTCCTTGGAATGAATTGCTGCCAATACTAGATGCTAAACAGCATAGGGTCAAACAAAACAATTGCTCCCCATTCCCTTGTGTTTTCTATAGATTTTTTTTTTAATTTTACATGTTTTATAAAAGAATACAGTCTTAGTTTTAGTTAGTAAAGGGCTATGATAGTACAAAAATTGTTTTTAAAAGAAACAAATATAAAACGTGGGAGAAAAACAGATGCGAGAGAAGAAAAATTGTCCTAGACATCAACTAACTGTTTTCAGGCGCTGGCCATATAAATATTCCAGTCATGGTACATGAGCCACACATGCATGAGATGGAAAATCTTAACCAGTATCTTCTTTCAGATTTGCACGCATATTCCCATATCAAAAGGCTAAATATTTTGTGGGATCACCATTCACCCAGTTCCATCTGTATCACAGGACTCAAACAGGAAATATATGTCAATTTACCCTCTTGGGCAATCAACATCATGCTTCCCAGGTATAATGGCTGAACCTCCCCAGTCCTCTTAAAAATCCAACCAAACTGATACCCCACCCACTCCAAGCCTAAAAAAATGTGATCATCTATTACCAAGGAGGAAAAAACATCCCACTCACTCAAAGCTTACTAGGGGACAATTTTTTCAAAGACTTTAGAACATGCAAGTTTGCTAGAAGATGTTCTGGTACTACGCTCACAGTTGCAATTCTTCAGTACTGAAGAAAGTAGACAGACTTAGTTTTGATGTTTCAAGAAAGAAACAACTGAAACCTAGCTTACTTTAGATGTCAGTGGGGAGGGGCGTGCAGATGGTGAAATGTGTGAGATACATGATTTTTCTTAAATAAGAAACCCCAACAGTTATTCAGGATTACCGACCCAAAAGAAGGAGACGTTTAAAGCGTGAGGATTTTTGTATGTAGCATCCTGAAGGCGCTGGCATTAGAAAGCTCTCACCAGAACATCTACTCTCTTGCTTTTCCCAATTGCTAAACATCTACTGCATAGAAATTCACACATTAAGAAAAACAGGGAACGGAGGAGGACAAGTGAGCAATTGACTATATCATCCCATACAGGAATTTGACAAAAAGTAATAGGAAGTACAGTGCAGGTATCAAGAGCCCAATACAAAACCTGAGAAGAAAGAAAGAATTGAGTGACAAGCGGTTCTTGACTAGTGCAGGCCATTCAGACACACCAAATGCGTTCACAGTCTTGAATATATGGTAGGGAAGGGGAGAGTACAGTAACAACGGAAGATGTGATGTTCACAGAAAGCATTTTAAGATATGCCCGTATTTTAAAGAATTTGATTAAAACTATGACTTTCTTATCCAGTTTAAGATAACAGCATTTTAGATTCATTAATTTTATACTAAAATGTTACCTGGAAGGCCCCACAAGAGAGACTGTTGCATAAGGGTCACAATTCTGTCCGTTTATAAGAGGCAACCCATGGCACTCCTTTATGCTACAAGGAAAAGACAATAGATCAGTGAAGCAATGTCTTTGGCTTAAAAAAATAAACCCCAAACAACCCTTTCTTTTTTAAATGATTTTTTTTTTTTTTTAAGTCCTGCTGCATTACACATTGATACATACACAAAACTGCGAGGAGTGGCAGGCACACCAGAAGGCTGTGCTGCCATTCAGAGAGACCTGGACAGGCTGAAGAGCTGGGCAGGGAGGAACCTGATGAGGTTCAACAAGGGCAAGTGTAGGGTCCTGCACCTGGGGAGGAATAACTCCGTGCACCAGTACAGGCTGGGAACTGAGCTGTTAGGGAGTAGCATAGGGGAAAAGGACCTGGGGGTCCCGGTGGACAGTAGGATGACCATGAGCCAGCAAGGTGCCCTCATGGCCAAGGCGGCCAACAGCATCCTGGGGTAGATTAGAAGGGGTGCGGTCAGTAAGTCAAGAGAGGTTCTCCTCCCCCTCTGCTCTGCCCTTCTGAGACCTCATCTGGAATAGTGTGTCCAGTCCTGGGCCCCTCAGTTCAAGAAGGACAGGGAGCTGTTTGACAGAGTCCAGTGCAGAGCCACCAAGATGATGAAGGGGGTGGAACATCTCCCTTATGGTGAAAGGCTGAGGGAGCTGGGTCTCTTTAGCTTGGAGAAGAGGAGACTGAGGGTGACCTCACTAATGTTTATAAATATGTAAAAGGTGAGTGTCAGGAGGATGGAGCCAGGCTCTTCTCAGTGATGGCCAATGATAGGACAAGGGGCAACGGGTGCAACCTAGAGCACAGGAGTTTCCACATTAACATAAGGAAAAACCCCCTCTGAGGGTGACAGAGCCCTGGAACAGGCTGCCCAGAGAGGGTGTGGAGTCTCCTTCTCTGGAGACATTCAAAACCCGCCTGGACATGTTCCTGTGTGATCTGCTCTAGGTGGTCCTGCTCTGGCAGGGGGTTGGACTAGATGATCTCTCAAGGTCCCTTCCAACCCCTAACATTCTGTGACATGGTGAACCAACATAATGTATGTACATAAAGCAGATCCTAACTACAGGTCTCTGGATGGTAATACAAGGTAATAGTCAAGTGTACAGTCAGACTTGGGGGCTCAGAGAATGAAATTCTTGGAATTGTTGCGATAAAAGACATTGCAGTATCAGGCACGCAGGGCAAAACCCTAAGTAAAATGAACTGCTATGCCAGGGGAAACTGTAGACTTCATTAACTTCTAAATCTGATTTCTCAAGGCCCACAAAAAGCTATTTGGCCTCATCCACATGGCAGTAACTACATTTGGAAGGCATTAAAGTGGATTCAAATTCAGTTAAACCTCATTCTGAGTCAAGTAAGCTGAGAAATGCAAAATCATATCCTGAAATGGTATTTAAAATTAAGCATCCAAACTATTAGTATCTAGTCCTAGTATGTTTAGGTTCCATCCACACTATTCAGCCACAAAGAGAAAAATCAGTTTACCTCTGAAATAGTGTTTATAAAGTTTATTTTCAAACTCTTTTCAAAACAGTGCACGATCAGGGTTTAATGGTTCTTTTAAAAATACCATTTTCTTCCATAATTCATACACCAAATTGTAAGATGGCGTTTAACAGGTACATATGCACATTGTTCACTCTCCTGATGCAAAAGGGATGGGATGGTTAGAAAGTAATGATAGAGACATTTTCTGGACCTTTTCTGAAGGCTCACATTCCTTTTGAATCACCACAGCAGCAACACTGCTAGAAACAGAGCTGGGTCAGCAAGCTGACCAACCTTCAGATGCTGTTCACATATGAGTATTAATTAAAACCAGCTGGAACAACAGAAGTAAAGCAAAACAGTTTGTAAATTTACAGTAGAAACCAGACTTTCTAGCAAAATGATGCTCTAATGTACCCATGCACACTATAGTATTTATTAAGACCAGAAACATTCAGCAGATTAAAAAATTTCATAAACAAGTATGACAAATGAGATCTGAATGCTATATTCCTGTTCTCTTTTAAATTATCTGTTTTTAAATAACGTATTGCAGGAATTGAACTAAATTAATGAAAGTAAGTTTTGGTTGCCATAATTAGCCAGCTGGAATAAAATCCAAAACCTATGTAACTTACGGAGAAAATACTTTTCTGTTCTATGTTCATATAAATAATCAAGTAAATGTTCTAATATTATAATGTGGAATATTAAGTTGTGCAGATCAAGTTAAAGTTATATAGCAGCCACAGCAGCTACACACTCATCTTCAGTAAATGCTTTCTGTACTGTAGAAAAACAGTGTTAGAAGAATAACAAGAGTTGCAAACACACACTCACAAGTGGGGAAAAAACAGACACTAACACTCCTGTGCTGCCTCAAACTCCACCCTCTTTGGAGTATGCACAATTATAAACGATAAAGTATTCCGCCTGCCCTGCCCTCCCTCCCCCCCCAAGTCCCTTTGTCTTAGCCAGTTCAGGGAACATTCAGTGCTGAACCACTGCACAATCATCTGTTATTTTTCTTCCAGCTTTCAAGCACATAGCCTTCAGCATTTCAATAATTTTTGAATCACAATGAACCCTACAGTGATTTCAAACCCACCATTTAAATGGGTTCTTGAAACATCCAGTTGTTTCATAAACATAATTGATTCCTCCTCCAACACGCACATGACATTGAAGAATGGTGACAAAATTAAACTGTCTAGACTTTTCAGTCATTTGGGGTACTGATTTGAGGCAGCTAGGATATGGACTTGATTCTGTCAGACTCTCAGGTATTTTGTAGCACTAAACATATGACCTGCAGCTCCCACAGACTTTTGGTTTCAGGTGTGAGTGCACCTGTAAGTTAGCCTCAACTCAAATGTCGTAGAAAATTCATAGCAGATGGATCGAGCCAAGCTTATCTGGATAGAATTCAACTATGGTAGTAAGAACAAAATTTCTGTTCCTACAGCCTGTGTCATGTTCACCAAGCTCCTGGGTTTCTCTAGCAAACAGATATAAGTCCTACAGAAAGCAGTTTCTTTCCTTATCTACAAAGTTTCTCACTCCTTCCCTGATCACTGTATGAATGACCTGTGTACATGACAACAATCCTACAGGAAACATGTATTATCATACCAACAAAAACTTATCACAATGCCCTACTTTTGGTTACAGAAACAGCTTGTTCCGGCCTCCCCTGTCTTCTTACAGCTTGACCACAACATACACAAACTAAAGGAAGGCTTGTTTGTGATTTCCTGCAAGCTGAAAAACATTACTGATAACTACACAGTCTTGCAGCAGAACTAGAATCACCAGATTCATCATACAGATCTGTCACTTCAAGCTGATTTCATGCTCCAGTCAGTCTCCCTGCGTAGGCAGCTCTAGCATTCCCTTTTCATCTGCCCAAGTCTCATTCCTGTTGCCAGCACGTAAGGTCTACCTAGCTTAGGCAGCCTACCCTGTTGAAACATCTCAAAAAACAAATACCCCAGCCCCCCTGACCAACTCCTAACATTCCCAGATCTTCTGTTTTTCGATGCATCAGGCTCAAGAATTTGTTCCAAGTTCACCTCACCTCCTCCCTTTCTATCTCTCACTAAGCTAGTCAGTTACAACCATCCCTTAACTCCCCAGTTATCGCCTGGAGTTTGCTTCATACACAGCACAACTAAGTTATGTGAACTGCACTGAAATGGTAGATCCTCCTCCTTCTCTTACACTCCTGCCTCACATCTATCACCTATGGTGATTCTGTTTACTAACCTTACAGAAAGCTATCTAGGTTTTGAGCTAGTTTTCATTCAGTTTGGCAACCTGAATTAACCTAGTCAGGCAGAAGATCTCACAAGCTCCAAAAGCAGTGCAAGGCAAGTAGCCATTAAGGGTAGGGAGACATTAAACCAACTCAGCACTACCAAACAGGATTGTTATTCCCTAGGGACTGAAAACACAAGACTGAACTATTGCCAATAGTTTTAAGCTACTAAACAAGTAGACTCCAGTAAACATGTTTAAAAATTTTTGATGATGTTTGAAGTGGCTCAATTATAGTCGACTTCACAGAAACAGAGAAGTGCAATCTCAACAGGTTTACCAGCTAGCAAGTCTCACAGGAATACTGCCCTTCCCCAAACAATCAGGCAACGTGCTAGAACTGCAATATTCTACAACAGGGAAAAAAAACCCCACCAAAACCATAGAAACACATTCCCCCCCCCCCCCCCCAACAAAAACCCAAACACTTTGACCAATCAAAAAAGAAAATAACACTAAATATACATTCCTATTTTGACAACCATAATAAATGTATTTCCACCATATGGTAAATGTTTCAGCTTTGACAAATGGTTTCATCCATCTAGGCTGGCACGAGGAATTTTCATTCAAAACGCACAAATGAATGAAGTTTGAAGAAGCAGACAGGAACTTAAAAGCCTTTTATTTCATATGTTAAACTACCACATCTTTATGTGAAGTGTAAGCAATGGCTAACAGAAGGACTTTTGTTCTCTTCTCAAACTACTGATCAGTTATGGTACAGTGTAAGACACCTTTCAGTTTACATTAATTCCTGCTTCACATCTCAGTAGTTTGTTCTGCAAGAGGAGTTTCATACAGGAAACATGAGCCTTTCAGATACAACTGTCATATATTCAGCTCATAAGATAGAAGTTAAGTCCTTAAAAAGACACAGCCTGCAATAAACCCCCTCAATGACTGAGGGACTCTACCTCCACCATTCAAATCAACTGAATTCCTCCAAGTGCAGAAACTAAATAACTGCAGCCATCAGGATTTGTATGCTTCATTAAAATTGTCATGTTCCCTCAAATGACTTCATGTGAGCAGATAAAGTATAAACAGGCCCGTAACAAACTGACTGGTCAATTTAAGATAGTATACCCTATAATTTATTTTTAAAAGTAAAAAAAAAAAAGACAAAATCTAGTTGTAATGAGGCATTTCTAGGCTTTCAAGGATTTGCTCTGTAAATACATAAAACTTGCTTTCAGAGTTGAAGTCATGTCAGACACAGAGAAGGTAGAGTACTACCATCCAATAGCCTAACTTGGCAAGAAACTGTTGAACTGTCATCTATTTCAGCAGCAGCAAATACACAAATGATGGTCACGCAAACTTGTTTCTACAGACTCCCGGAAAGGAGAGCTGCAAGAGTATATTTGAAATGTGCTACTATACATGCCATTGTGGTTTTGAGAAAGAGCACACACTGAGCCAGCAGTTAATCTACTGCATTATCTTCTTCCCCTCCTCATTCACACATTAGAAAAGGAAACAACTAGTATCAGAGACAAAACAAAATTTTAATTCAGAAATGGCCTGTGGTTGTACCTGCATGAAATTTATCAGCAAGTTTCCAATTAACACAAAAATTATGTGTAAAATCAGGGCTGAGCCCACTATACGTGGTGTCTAAGATAGCCCTTCACCAAAGGAAGATTACTTCATGCTTGTATTTCAAAAAAAGTGTTAAGGGCTTCATTGATGAAAGACAAGCAATTACAAACCTTAATTTGACTTTCTCCAGGGAGAAGAAGAAAAAAAAAAAAAGTATTTCATGATCATGTTTTTAGAATGCTTATACAACCTGAAAGCCCTAGCTGGCTTCGGAAAGTCCCACCTTAAGAATATTTGCCACCCTTTTTTCCCCTTGCCCCACTCCCTGGCATCAAGTAAGACCAGATCAGTCAGTCGTGGTATATCTTTATATCTTGTATAAGACCACTTTTTGTCAACTTGAGCAAAAGAATGAAAATTCTAGTTTTTAAGAAGCAATGCATTGGTTTTGGTTTGTTTTTGTGGTGGGTTTTTTTGTTTGTTTGTTTTTTTTACTGTTATCCACCGCTTCGCCAATACAAACATAGTTTGTGATATACCAGTATCTACCTTTCCCCAAGCTTACTTCCCCTGCACAAAGTTGGGGAATAGAGCCCTAAAAAGGATCTAAATTTAAAACAAAAAACAGAAGGGGGAAGGCAGGGAGATAGAGAACAAAAATAAAAGAAACATGAGAAATTGCACTCCTGGTCTCATTATACAACAACTGACCATCCCTTTGTCATACGCAGCAACACTTACCTTTCTAAAAATCACATGTTCTTCCCAACAACTTCTTGTTTGGAAAAGTTAGTTCTACTATACAGACTAGCATGAAATGAAGCCTTTGTCCCTCCCACATTAGCTCTAAGAGGCTAACATCAGCATTAGCTCTTTGTTGTCCAAATCCTTAACTTTTAAAAATTGCTTCCTACTGAAATTACCTTCAGTTTTTAAATCAATCCTTATCATAAAATCCATCTAGAAGATCAGCAAAAAAAGCTTCCACAACCATGTCTACAGAACCATAATAATATGAATCCACCTCCTAGTCAGGTCTAATCCTATCATTTTGGTTCAGCCACAAAAAGGCAACAGAGGGCTCTAGATAATGCTTAGAATCACAGCCCTTGAATTACTTGCTATTGTCTGTATGCTTAACACTATCTTCAATCTTGCATTGCAAAAGTTGTAGCTATTTTTCCTCTTTATAGAATTTCTAGACTCTAAGGGAATACATGGTGGAACTCCCTTAGAAACTTTCCTATGCACAGAAGCCAGCACAAGTATCTTGAATTCTTGTATCCTACAAAAAAATTAACTGGTGAAGGTTTAAAAGGTTCCCTGGCTCATTACATTGAGAGACCACCAATTCAGATGTGAAGTAAACATGGCTTTGAAAGGCAAGTATTATAGCCCATATTTTAAGAATGATTTTTTCCACAATTTCTCTTTGACCAATACTTAATAATAATGATAATAACGATAATAATTATGATAATAAAAAATAAACAATGCCCACTCTTTGTTGTTGTTCAGGGGGCTTTTTCGTTTGTTTGATTGTTTTGGGGTTTGTTTTTTATTTGTCTCAATTGCAGCTCTGCTACTTCCTATCTTGTTAAAGGAGTTACTAACACAATGGCTTCTTAATTTAGCATTAGGTGCATCACTAACTATTCTCGAAAATTTACAAAATAAGCAGAGTTTAAAGAGTTCAAATTTTCTATTAAAGAATCACATATGTACTTCCTGTAAATTTCTCATGCTTTAAGATCAAAAGGGTCTCAAAAACTCCCTTGCATACATTTCTGAAATACTCTATCCACTAAGAGATATTTCTCACATGTACAATCAAAAAATATATTTATGTACAATGTATCACTTATACAGCAAATTATTTCAAGGCTATCAGCATGTGTGATAAAATGCTACTATACATTTTTAGTTTAAGGAACTCTAGTGCATTTCATAATTTTAGCTGAAGACAAAAGTACTGATGTAATACTGCAGTGTTTAACGCACAATCCTCTCCCACATGTCAGCGAGTGGGCGAGTACAGCAACCACAAGAGAACCCTGGCTTCCTTTTGATCATTTATCACCATCATAAAGAGATCCTAAGAGAGGGCACAGTGAGTAACTTGCTTCCTACTTAAAACTGCAACCTGCCACAGTAACTTTCTAAAGCAACTATTCTCCATCATACAAAAAATCCAAACATGTTTTAAAAATATAAAAAAAAATAATTAGCTTAGACTGAAGTGCATAGATACTAACATTTTAAATAAAAAAGAACCCAACCAGACATTTATCAGAAAGTTAAGTTGGGAATAAAAAACAAAGTCATAAAGCGTCAGCCAGCTTTTGGTGGCAAATAGTCTATGGGGAAAAAGCTGTTCTAATTCTGCCTTGTGCTGCAAGTGGGATACAAAAGTAAGAGCAGCAGGACTCACAATGAACCAAGCTGCCATCCACAATACAAGTATAAACACATTCAGAATTATCTTTAAGTTATAAATACACATTGAGGTACAGGAAGTGTCCATTATCTTACCTGAATTATCAGCCTACAATAGCCACTAAAACATTGCCAGTTTCACTGGTTTAGTTCTATCACAGAACTAGCTTTCCTTTTCACACCAAGTAAAAGAAAAACAAAGATATTATTTTGCCAGGTCTTGCTCCAACTAAACTACTCATCTTGGTTTAGATAGTTGACTAAGGTAGAAAGAACGTAATTTAGACTTCATAATGAAAATTACATTAGCAAAACTGACAGTGTAATGTTCCCCCCCTGCCTCCTGGAGCTGTTCTGAACATGAAGTCACCAAGACAAATGTAAGGGAAGACCACATACCATTTTCCCCCCTTAGTTTCACAATACAACCGGTTCTTTCATACTAAATTCTCAGAGAAGATTTAAAAACCCGAAAACCTCACATTCTGAATAAATATAAGTTAACGGAAAGCAAAATTCATAGAATCTTACTACCTCTTGAATTTTTAATTTTAATTTTCCCCTAGTCTTTATAACCCCCTTGTCTGTACACTTTTCTTCACAGGGCCTATCCCACAACCTGTTAGGAGACAAGTGCAGAAAAGCCTTTATTTCCTTCTGAAGCACCAAAAAAAAAACCACCTTGCAGTAAGACTGGCTTGTTCTCCTGAACGTTACTCATGCTGAGAATGTAAAGAAGAGTCACAAGAGAATGCTGTCAATGACACTGAGTCACTGCAAGTCATTGGTTTCCACTGGTCTCTTCAATGAAATCAAACAGTCTCTCAGAGGCAAGTGACATAGAAGGCTGTCACACTTCTTCCAAAATAAAGGACAGGATTAGTTTCTAAAGAGACCAGTATCTTCCAATATGCCCTTATCAGACACATTTTTTACCAGTGTCAAAACATTTCTGTATATTTGTATAACTGTACTTGCATTAGTTTCTTAGAAGTTTCTGGCCTTCAATGTATTGCTTAATAATGAATAAAAAGAAACAGAATGACCAGTACATTGTACAATTTTGGTCTTCTGTGACTAACATCTGTAATCTGTACATTCAGACTCGCAAAGCCATCACACAGGATTATTAAACATAGCTTTAAGAGTAACCATACAAGAGTACAGACTGGCTAGTATCTGCCAGTATGTCTCATTCTGTGCTTTTCCTGCAATATTGGTGAAATTTGCCTTTTTTGAAATAACACATACCAAAAGTTTACTGTTTCTATGAGGCTGTAATGTCTTTACACTTTGGAGTCAAAAGTTCAGTAGTGAAAACTCCTTACGCTGCTGCTAAGAAATTTTACTGAAATGTGACATTATGCTGCTACAGACAGGAGGCAACTCCTGTACTTTGTTTTTCTATAAACATTCCGTATCATTGTTAACCATGAGAAAGTAATTCTGAAGTAAAACCAAAAGTGGATTTTCACGTACCAACTAAAATATCACTACTGAAAGAGTTTCACGCTATTCCCAAACCACCAGCAGCAGCTCAATTCTGTCAGTAACAGCAGCACTGCAAGTTCTGGCTGTCAGCTGCAGTGGGCATTCCTACCTTTCTCACCAGACCCAATTCAACTGGAATTGCAAGACACTGATCTAATGATTCCATGCTGAGTCCTAAAAAAGTGAGTGCTTTGGGAGCAAGAGATGAGCAGTTGTAAAAAACTTCTGCAGCAGTTTCCTAAGCATACACCCATTCCCTCAGCAAGGTAGGCTCCAAGGAAAGTCATATAAAAAGCAAAATGTCATTGGTACCAGGACGTGCAGACATTATTGAGAGAGACAAATCACATCATGTTCTAACAACTTAATATTCAAGGATTAATGTATTTTCTTACTGTACTACTAGTTGCTGGCACACAGATCCATTATCTGTTATCAGTTCATTCAGTTTTAATTCAAGGTGAACTTTTCCCTGAAAAAAAAAAAAAAAAACAACAAGAGAAACACCAATAGTTTTAAAAGCCTTTAATAATTAGAACAATAATATAGTTTACATTTAGAAACTAGTTAAGGTAATTCCAATACACCCACTTTAAGCAAATTCTAAAGCATGTATGCCGCAAGTGGAGTATGATGAATGCATCTGAACTTCAAGAGTTAGCCTCAACTGCAGACAGCACACCAATTGTTGAAGCCTCCACAAATTTAACACACACACACAAAATATTTAAGAGCATGAGGAAGTACCAAGAGCAAAAGATCCTCTGAGCTTTTTTGTCCCAAGCATACAATGAACCCCCAAACATACAGATAGTGAATTTATGAGCATTTCAGGAGAAAGTTCTAGAATGACCTTGGACTCTGAAGGTAGTTAAGTATATTTAGAAAAGTAGAATAGTAAGCAGTAGCCGTAACCAGCAACATTTAATATTCAGCTCTGAAATGCTGTCCACCCCACCAGTCCAAAGATCATTTAGAAATTTATTATCTATCCCAGTGCAGCTTTCAGCTATCTCGTGAAGTCTGCTGATGTACTCATGGAACAGTAAACATAACCAAAGCAGAGGAAAAGGTGGCGATAACTGTTGAACCTGGCTTCCTCCTTTTCTTTTGCTGATACGGTAGAACGTATTAAGAAAAAGAATCCATGAATGATGGTACAGCACGGATTAACCTCAGAACTCAGCAAGGTCCAGCCTACTCTACACTCTCCAAAAAAGGCGCAAAAACCTCCAAACCATGATATGGAACTTTCTTGAGATGACCAAAATTTGGTACTATAACCTTGCTCTCAATATCTACTGCCTGAACAATACTGCTACTCCTTTCACTACCTAGCTATTTGTGCTGGCTTTCACATCTAACACAACCAGACACTAGCACAGTCCTTCCTCTAAACCACGTTCTCCTTGGAATGTGTCTATTTGCTAAATGGAACATCAAATGACACTGGTCTGTCCCACAATCATAATTCTTAAGGAAGGGACCTGGAAGGTAATTTTATAGTGTGGCAAAGAAAACAAGCTGTAATTTGAACTACGGTTTTGCTGCACAACACTAAAATGGAAGTAAAACCCTTAGCTGACCTTGTATACATTTCTGTAGCACTTACATTGTGACACAGAAGTGAAATGTTTTTATTGTAAATCCCTGGGGCAAGGGCTACGTTTCTCTCTGCACGTCACATGGGAGGAGAAGCGAAGTTTCTTTTATAAGGAAGTTTTAAACGTAACTATTTTGGGATGCCTGACAAGTGTCACAAACTGTTACTACATGGATTGGAACACAGGTACATTAAGAAAATATTTATCAGAGGAACTCAATTACAAAAATAGATTTACAGGATAAAAACAGGATACCAAGAAGCATGCCAACAGTCCTGTTACAAGGCAAAGTTTTTGAATGACAAATGAAGAGACAACGTTGGTAGTATTTATTGCAATAGCTGACTTAACTAGTTTTAGTAGACAGATGTGAGTGGCCTAAACATTTTCCTTTTGCTTAAAAAAAAAAAAAAAAAACCAAAAAACCACCAGACCTAACAAAAATCATGTCTTCTACACTCCTCAGTAAGAGTAAGATAGCAAGTTTACTGCTCCTGAGAACTATCTGTAGATGTAGTTTGTTTAGACCTCAGCACCATGAAGGCTACAGTAACATGGCTGAAAGTAAGTACTTCCCTGACACATATGGAGAGTTTTGGGTATATTTTTGTTGTTTATTTGTTGAGAACAGCGTAATTGTTTCGTAAAGTGGCTGATCTGCAGATCTATATCAGAACTTTTGACATAATATGCAACTGGGTTGTGCAGATTTGTTTTAGTTCAAAACAAAGAGAAATAAGTCATTCTTATACAATAAATAAGCAGTACACTTTATGTGAAATGCACTTTTCATCTGTAGATCTCAGGGTTGCTCAAAGATAGGTAAGGTACCATTTTAACGCTACAAATGGATTAACATTCAATTTTCAAATACTGACTAGAGGAAGATGCAGCCATTGATCACACGGCCAAGATTCACACAGTAACAAAGGAGCCAAAACTAGAGTGTCCAAATCACCAACCTGAACTTTAGAACTACAAAGCCAATTTAGTTACACAGTTTTGGTTTTAGAATTGCTACTGCATTTTAATGCTGTATTTTAATCTGTGGTTTTTTTTCCTCCTCACTGTTCCAATATTTTTATCATTTCCACATGATGAAATATTACAAGTACCTATAATAAATAGAAGTTTTATAGTTTACGAAAGCGCTTAAGTGAAAACTGGCCTAGCAGCTGTATGTTAAATATTTATGCCAAAAGGCACTCATATACAGTGCCTGCATTCTATATACAGAATCACACTACTGTTCCAGGTGTACCACAATAACTTTTGACAATGTTAGTTTGCTTCTCTCTGTTGAAGAAGAAGAAACACACACTCTTGCCCGAAAAGTAGTCTGTGCTCAGGAAAGTCATTGAGGGTGGTGGTGGGGTTTAAACAGAAATGCTAACAGTTATTTTCCAGTTCCTCCCTCAACATGAGAAATGCTAGATTACAGTATTTCTCTTGAACTCTGTCTTCTTCCTTCCACTTCCCCCAACTCAATGGAACAAATATCATAACTGAACTATTGAATTTGTAAGAATAAGAAAGCTATCTTTATGCCATAGGCACCATGTCAACATCTAAGTAGAAGAAAAAAATTCTAAAGCCAAAAATTTAATTAAACTTTAAGTAACAAAAAAAAAAGAACAGAACCTAAAATAACCCAGGTTAACCACTCAGAAGCATCTTTGGTAAAGTCAAGTCCTTGCAGGTCATGGAAAATAAAACTGGGGCTCTAGAATACCCCACAAATTATATAACATTTCCATATTTAGCCCAAATTGTAATTCTGCATGCTTACTGCTAAAACATCTCTACATAGCAGATAGAGGTTCCATCAGGTTTTTTCCAGCTTTCCCATTCTGAATTAGAGCAAATATACACCACATCTGAGGTGTACTACGTCTTACTGTCTACCACACTCAGCTCCCAGCATTGTGTAATGACCAACAATTCCATAGTAGTAGGAATATCTGTTCAACTCAGACGACCCTGTGAAGTTTACTTCACTCAGACCTTTCTTCTTACCTAGGGTTACAGATCTGAGCCACTAGGAATCCAATAAGCTGGCTTGAGGCTCCATCTCCATTTTTTCCAAATTTATACAGTCTACATGAACACCAGGAGAATCTATTACGTTACTTGAATGATTAGAAATCCTCTAAATTTTATGAAAGAGACTAGTGAATGTTAAAGTTACCTGCAAAAACCTTAGAACTGTGTGAAAGATTCTGACCTTACCAATGTGATCGTGAAATGTCAGAATTCAAGATCCTCAGGGTAGCAAGGGAGGGTGCGCAGCAAGCTCACTACCCTGGACTTCAAGAGAGCAGACTTTGGCCTCTTCAGGGATCTGCTTAGTGGAGTACCATGGGATGAAACCCTGAAGGGGAGAGGTGCCCAAGAAAGCTGGTCCATATTCAAGGACCACCTCCAAGTCCAGAAGCAACGCATCCCAAAAAAGAGGAAGGCAGGCAAGAATGCCAGAAGGCCTGTGTGGATGAACAGGGAACTCCTGGACACACTTAAAGACAAAAAGAGAACTTACAGAAAGTGGAAGAAAGGACAGGTAGATGGGGGAGAACACAAAGAAGTTGCCCGAGAAGGCAGGGATCAGGTAAGGAAAGCTAAAGCCCAGTTAGAATTAAATATGGCCAGGGACATCAAGGATAGCAAGAAAGACTTTTATAGGTGTCAGCGATAAAAGGAAGACTAGGGAAGCTGTGGGCCCTCTCCAAAAGGAAACAGGAGAACTGGTCATGAGGGATATGGAGAAGGCTGAGGTTCTCAATGACTTCTTTGCCTCAGTCTTCACTGGCAAGGGCTCTAGTTGCACTGCCCAAGTTGCAGAAGCCAAAGGCGGGGACTGGGAGAAGGAAGATCTGCCCGCTCTAAGTGAAGAACAGGTTCGTGACTATATAAAGAACCTGAAGG